TATCGCATAGTAATAAATTATTAATATCAAAAATGTATTTCTGTTTTTTCTTTTTACATATTTTGTTAAAAGGCCAAATAAGGAATTCAAACCAAAAAAAAGTAATTTTCTGTTTTGTTTTATTCTTGGATCAGGCTTTAAAGGGTTATAGGTGTTTCTTAAGATTAAGATTATAGATATTTGGAAAATTAAGCTGCAATTTTGTTTCAAATGTTTTCTTTTTTAGAAAGAAAAGGCTTTTTTTCTGTGACCCTTTAAAACACACAATACTTCAGTCTAACTCTACTGTCACAACTTTTAACCTTTAATTCGCTAACTAAGGCCTGTGGGGCCTGGGATCCTGAATTTTTCCCCCCGTGATGAGATGTCCAATCCTGAGAAGATGGCCATCTTATCCAGAATTTTTTCACTCGTGAATAACATTGAACTCTTTCCAGCATCTGCCATTTCTGGTGTCTTTCTACTTTTGCTTTCCACATTAGCAAGGAAAATCTGAAAGAAGCACTGATTACAAATATTATTTGAATTACTGTTTTACAAACCGGATCGGTTCTTTCTCTGAGGACCTGTAGCTCAAAACCACAGCTGGCCTACTCTTTGAGAGGAGTTTAAGAGGTTGTCAAATTAAGCAGCAATTTTGTTAAAAATGTTTTCTTTTTAGAGAGAAAAGACCATTAAAAAACACACCATACTTCAGTCTATTTCTAACTCTACTGTCACGACTTTTAACCTTTAATTCGCTAACTAAGGCCTGTGGGGCCTGAGATCTTGACTTTTTTCCCCCTGTGATGAGATGTCCTATCCTGAGAAGATGGACAGCTTTTCCTGAATATTTTCAGATGAGAGGAGTTTAAGAAGTGGTCAATGGACAATAGATCCAGAGGTTGTAGTCTTGAGTTAAACCACTGGACAAAAGTAGTGTAGAGTGATCTGATCTGTTCATCCCACCGGGGTCTAGGGTTGTCAAAAGTATCGATACTCGAAAAAGTATCGATACTAAAAATGTTGTATCCGGATACGATACTCATTTTCAAAAGAATCGATACCACCGTGCGAGCCCCCTTCTCTCTGATTTATTTATGTATTTATTTACGTTGTTTATGATCATTAACAAAATGTTAGCCTTGCTAGCTGCGGCTAATGGCTAATAATAACATGCTACCAATCAAGTACATATCCAACTCCGCCCACATCCAAGTCGGCCATTTTGATTAGGTCACCAATAGGAAGATCCCAGGCAAGAAAATCCTAATTGCTTCATGGCAATATAGGCATTAATTTAAAAATAGTTAAATGAATCTTTCAAACACTGAATTAAACTCCATCCATAATATTATGTTAATATAGTGTATATTAAATCGGTTTGTACAATAAGTCCAAACAAGTTTAACCAAAAAATATTTATTTCTCACAATTATGAAGGCTGGAGGGTTAGGGTTAGGGTCATTAATGTGGGCCATAATAAAATCAGTAACAGGTCAGTTTGAAATGAAAGACCCAATTCAGTTAAATTTTGGGGTCTTTGTTTTTATCCTTGTGGTATCGAGTATCGAGTATTTTCCTGAGTATCGGTATCGAGTTGAACATTTTAGTATCGTGACAACACTACCGGGATCACACTGACATCTCTCTACCCACTGGATCCAAATGCCGACTACGGGATTCACAGGATGAGCGTCTGGTGCCGTCTGCATATTTAGAGTCCCTAACCCGACAGATCAGCCTCAGAGTCGTCCCCCGGCCTTAATCCCCGACTCATGCGAGCCATATTTATGAAGCGGTTTGAGCTATGCAGAGGTTCGCCTGGCCAGTAAATCCCTGGAATCGATATTTGCCTGTTTATTTATTGGTCGATAAACATTTAAATTTATTCCCTGTCACCAGGTGATGCATTGTGAAACCCCACCTGTCACGATTACTCAACATTACACGAAAAAAATAAATAGATAAATAAATAAATAAATCAATAAAAATAAATAAATAAAAAATAAATAAATAAATGAAAAAATAAATAAATATAAATAAATAAATAAATAAATAAATAAATACAAATAAATAAAAAATATATATATATATAAAAAAAGATCATTAAAAATAAAATTAAAAAACAGTACACGATTCTGGTTATTGAACAGCCTGCGCCCTCCCACCAGGTGTGACCTTTGAGGCTTTCGGCGAGCTTGAATGCATAATAATTGGAACAGAAGATTATGGAGCTTCTGAAATCTCAGGTTACCTCGGACAGCTTCTGGCACATGCTGTCTTCCCACCCGTCTTCAGGAGGCATCTCCGGGATGAAAACCCAGTCGGCTCCACACGCCAGGGCACTGACCAGAGCCAGGTACCTGGACACACACAGAAACCC